CCCTAACGCCAGGAGGGACACTGAGGTGCTGGAGACGGTACAGAGGTGGGCTACCAAGCTGGGAAAGGACTTGGAGCATGTGTTGTATGAGAAATGGCTGATGGATCTGGGGCTGTTAAGGCTGGAGGAGATGAGGGGAGACCTTCTCACTCTCTCCTCAACTACCTGAAAGGAGGGTGTAGCGAAGCGGGGGTTGGTCTGTTCTCCCTAGTGGCGAGTGACAGGACAAGGGGAAATGGCCTTAAGTTGCACCAGGGGAGGGTCAGGTTGGATATTAGGAAGAATTTCTTTAGTGAAAGGGTTGTCAGCCATTGGAACAGGCTGCCCAGAGAGGTGGTTGAGTCGCCATCCCTGGAGGTGTTTAAGAGACGGGTGAATGTTGTGCTGAGGGACATGGTTTAGTGGTGTCAACAGGGCTAGGATAAAGGTTGGACTCTATGATCTTGAAGGTCTCTTCCAGCTGAAATTGTTCTATGATTCTATGAAACATGTCCAAATACCATCAAAAATCTTAAGTGGCAGTAAGATGCTTAACCCAATCCTTTGAAGTCAAATACACTCCTATACTTGTGAGAGTTCAACTGCATGATATGCATTTACATTAATACTAAGTGACAAAAACATATTAATAAATATCTGACATTTGTTAGTAGTTTTGTGAATAAATATAATTTACATGTACATTTAAATATATATTTAAAATTTGTCTGAAGTTCAGACTGCCATCTCTTCTGCAGTATGCCAGCATTAAAGATTAAGAGTGCGTGCAACGATCTAGTTATTTGCATTCCAGCAAAATGCTTAATATCACCATATATTAATCCTTAAAAGTCTGATAGTGACAGTAAAAGAATTCCTGTTTTGTCAGAGACTCTAGAGTTAATACCATGATTTTCTCATCTGCACTAAGGAAGAAACTGCCATGTTAAGGAACATACACATTAGAAAATGAGCAGAAGCAGGGATTCAGATTCTCTGAATATTTACCCTTGGCTAAGAAGGACAGATGAGGAAGGGCAGGGTGTGATTCGTATGTAATAAGATCAACTTACCCAGATGTAGACGTATGTGGCTTTTCATCTGTACCTGTGTAACAGCCAAGAGTCACTTCTTACAACCCATGCTTTTAAAAGAAATATCCTTCAGACAGACTCCTACTCAGCGGCATGTTCACAAATGCACACTTTTGTATACTTCATACATGTACATGTTTATTAGCACCAATGGACAAAAATTACCATCTTTTATGCATGTCTGAGGTAAATAACAGCAGGTTGATCCCACTGAACAGGAGTAACACCACTTCTGGGCACGTGCTTCTACTGTTTAACTTACACTGGTTTTGGTTCTGTTTGGACAAAGTCCACGACTCCATGACCTAATTTAACACTATAATCCAGAAGAAAACTAGGTACACTACCAAAAGTGCAGCTTTCTCCTGACCAGTGAACTCACAGAGAAAGAGCAAGTCAGGCTTTTTCCCTTTTCAGTAGCACCACACTGGCATTAACTCAGCAGTCTTACGTATTCACACTCACTTCCATGGGGAAAGAAAACAAGCCAAAAACATTCAAGATGTGAAATGGCTAGATTCCAGCAAGCAATTGGTAAGTTTTCTCTCCTTACCTTTTACTTTCTTTAACTCTGTATTTTCTGCATCAACAGTTTTTCTCTTGACAGGATGAGATGTGCTAGCAGCTGAGCCAGTTGCTGTCTGCTTTGTGCCTTTTAATTCTGCAACTCTCTGTAAAGTAGTACAAAATTCAGGAAGCTTTCCTAGCAGGAAATTCTGCATTGCAGCTTAAGTACAGCACTTTTAGAACAGTTTATTAAAGCCAGTTGGCATCTTTCTAGAACAACATCACCAAAACAGACATCATGGATACCAAAACCAAGACCAATGTTTCTGTCAGCCTCTTGAATAATGTGATGTGGGGGCAGAGGAACTGACACTTGCACAAGGGAGGCTGTACAAGTGATAAATGGAAGACTAAGATTAGTGCCATTTAAGCAGTAGGACACTGGAGGAAAGAACAGGAAGGCTGGACTCATCCTAAGGTCCTAAAATATTGTTTTAAACTTAAAACATGCAGTAGTATTAAAGACGCGTCACTGTGCCTTGCCACAATGATCTACTCAGGGTGCAGGCAAGGAATGAAGAACCCCTCAGTTGTTTTTGTGTTTTCCTCAGTTCTTGTAAAATTAAACACAACTTATTTCCACTAGGAAGCAGAATGTAAAAGGATTTAAAAAATAATAACAATCAGATGTAAGGTTGCGTCCAAGTTACAAGCTCCCTGAAATTGTTTTACAAAATCTTTATTGCTAGATCATAAAGAACAAAAATTTAAAAAAGCATAATTTCTCAATCACGTCTAAGCTGTCCCTTGCTAATATACAGGTAACAAAGCAATCCCAAGTGGGGTTTCCAAGTCCAAGCTGCAGAGAAGTAACAATTAAAAAGTTGTCACTAAGGTGGGAACGGCTTCATCTTAAGATCCCGCCCCTTGCAAGCCACGGGACGATTCTCTCAAGGGCCGGCCTTCCCATCGGGACACGGCCTTTTAGGAAAACAAAACAAGCCAGAGCAAGCAGGCTTGTTCTCACACTACTCTCTCCTAAGAAGAGAGACAGAGAGAACTGGGGCTGTTTAGCCTTGAAAGGAGACGGCTGAGAGGGGACCTTATTAATGTATACAAATATCTGAGGGGTGGGTGTTAAGGGGAAGGAGACAATCCCTTCTCAGTGGTGCCCAGCAATAGAACAAGAAATAAGGGTTTAAGTCAGAACATAGGAAGTTCCACCTCAACGTGAGGAGAAACTTCTTTACTGTGAGGATGACAGAACACTGGCACAGGCTGCCCAGAGAGGTTGTGGAGTCTCCTTCTCTGGACTTTCCAAACCCACCTGGACGCGTTCCTGTGTGACCTACTGTAGGTGATCCTGCTCTGGCAGGGGGGTTGGACGAGATGATCTCTAGAGGTCCCTCCCTTCCAGCCCCTGACATTCTGTGATACCCTCTCCAGGCAGACGCTCCGCTGTTACCTATTAGCGTACACCCCAAACCAGGGCAGCAACCACCCCCCTCCTTCCCCTTCCTCCTTCTCACGTAGCGTCCGGTTACTTCTCAGCAACAAACCCCCGGCCAGTGCCCGGCAGAAACCCGTAACGGGCCCTCTCTAGCCCGGCGGCGACGGGGCCCACCAGCACCAACACCCACCGCGCACCCCGCTGGCGGCCGCTCACCTCCC